TTGCTTTAGAGTTTTGGATATAGGGTTTAGGGTTTTGGGATGTGGTTCTTGGGTTTTGGTTAGGGTTTAAGGTTTTGTTTCAGGGTTTCTCGTTTTGGGTTTAGGGTTTAGGTTTAAGGATTAGGGTTTTGGTTTAGGGTTTCCGGTTTTGGATTTTGGGTTTAAGGTTTTGGTTTAGGGTGTAGGGTTTATGGTGTTGGGTTTTTTGTTTAGGGTTTAGGGTCCTGGGTTTTGGGTTTAGGGTTTAGGGTTTAGGGTTTAGGGTTTTTTGGGTTTTGGGTTTTGGGTCTTGGGTCTTGGGTCTTGGGTCTGGATTTAGGGTTTTGAGTTTAGGGTTTTGAGTTTTGGTTTAGGGTTTTGGATTTAGTGTTTAGGGTTAGGGTTTAGGATTTAGGGATTTGGGCCTTGGGTTTTTGTTTAGGGTTTTTTTTAGGGTATGGGGTTTTGGTTTAAGGTGGGGGTTTTGGGGTTTTGGGTTTAGGGTTTAAGGGTTTGGTTAAGGGTTTTGGGTTAAGGGTTTAGGGTTTTGGGTCTTCGTTTTGGTTTAGGGTTTACAGTTCAGTTTAGGGTTGAAGGTATTGGAACAGGTGTTGGGTTTAGGGCTTAGGGTTTAGGGTTTTTGGTTTAGGGGTTTGGAGTAAGGGCTTACGGTTTTGGGTTTTGGCCTAGGGTTTTGGTCTTAGGGTTTAGGGTTTTGAGTGTAGGTTTTAGGGTGTTAGTGTAGGTTTTAATGTGTTGGGTGTAGGTCTTAGGGTGTTGGGTGTTGAGTCGGGTTTAGGTTTAGGTTTAGGTTTAAGTTTAGGGTTGAAAGCTTTTGAATTTAGGTTTTGGATTGAGGGTTTTGGGTTTAAGGTTTAGGGTTAGGGTTAGGCTTGGGTTTTGGTGTAGGGTTTAGGGTTTTGGTTTAGGGTTTTTTGGTTTTGGGTTTTGGGTTTAAGGCTTTTGTAGAGAGTTTTGGTTTTAGGTTTAGGGTTTTGCTTAGGGTTTTGGGCATAGGTTTTAGGGTTTTGGGTCTTGGGTTTTGGTTTAGGGTTTTGGGAGTTGGGTTTTGGGTTTAGGTTTAGGGTTTTGGTTTAGGGTTTTGGGTGTAGGGTTTAGCATTTTAGGTTTTAGGGTTTAGGGTTTTGGATGTAGGGTCTAGCGTTTTGCTTAGGGTTATGGATGGGGTTAGGGTTAGGGTTTTGGGTTAGGGTTAGGGTTTTGGGTTTTTGCAGGGTTGGGGTTTAGGTTTAGGGTTTTGGGTTTTTTCAGTTTAGGGTTTTTTTTGGTTTAGGGTTTAGGGTTTAGGGTTTTTTGGTTTTGGTTTTGGGGGTTTGGGGTTTGGGGTTTGGGGTTTGGGGTTTGGGGGGTTTGGGGTTTGGGGTTTGGGGTTTGGGGTTTGGGGTTTGGGGTTTGGGGTTTGGGGTTTGGGGTTTGGGGTTTGGGGTTTGGGGTTTGGGGTTTGGGGTTTGGGGTTTGGGGTTTGGGGTTTGGGGTTTGGGGTTTGGGTTTTGGGTTTTGGGTTTTGGGTTTTGGGTTTTGGGTTTTGGGTTTTGGGTTTTGGGTTTTGGGTTTTGGGTTTTGGGTTTTGGGTTTTGGGTTTTGGGTTTTGGGTTTTGGGTTTGGGGTTTGGGGTTTAGGGTTTAGGGTTTTGGGGTTTGGGGTTTAAGGTTTTTGATGTAGCCTTCTGGGGTTTAAGGTTTTGGATGTAAGGTTTAGGGTTTTAGGTTTTTTTCTTGGGTTTTATGTTAAGGGTTTTAGTAGTTGGGTTTTGGGTTTTGGGTTTAGGGTTTTAGGTTTAGGGTTTTGGTTTAGGGTTTTGGGTATAGGGTTTCGCGTTTTGGGTTTTAGGTTTAGGGTTTTGGTTTAGGGTTTTGGATGTTGGGTTTAGCGTTTTGGGGTTTTGTTGTATGGGGTTGAGTGTTTAATGTTTAAGGTTTCTGCTGGAGGCTTCTGGGTTTAGGGTTTTGGTTAAGGTTTGTGTGTTAAGGGTTTAGATGTTGGGTTTTGTTTTAGGGTTTGGGTCTTGGGTCTTGGGTTTTTGTTTAGGGTTTTGGGTTTGGGGGTTTGGGTTTATGGGTTCAGGGTTGATGGTTTAAGGTTTTTGGTGTAGCCTTCTGGGTTTAGGGTTTTGGGTGTAAGGTTTAGGGTTTAAGGTTTTTTCTTGGGTTTTGGTTTGGGGTTTTGGATTTTTGGGCTTCGGGTTTTGGGTTTTGGGTTTTGGGGCATTGGGTTTTGGGTTTGGGGGTTTCGGGGTTTGGGTTTATTGGTTTAGGGTTGATGGTTTAAGGTTTTTGGTGTAGCCTTCTGGGCTTAGGGTTTTGGGTTTAAGGTTTAGGGTTTAGGGTTTAGGGTTTTTTTCTTGGGTTTTGGTTTAGGGTTTTGGTTTAGGGTTTTGGGTTTTGGGTTTAGTGTTTTTGGTTTCAGGTTTTGGGTTTTGGGTTTCAGTTTTGGGTTTGAGGTTGTGGATAGTGTTGGGGTAAGGTTGGGGGTTGAGTTGGGGTTGTGGCTATGTTTGGGCTTGAGGCTATCCTTTGTGCTGATGTTTTGGTTGAGAATGGGGTTTGGGTTGAGGTTCGTGTCAGAGCTTGGGTGGGGCCTAGGGTTGGGATTGGATTTTTGTTTGTGCTTCGGGTTGGAGCTGAGTGGGCCTTGTGGTTGGGGTTCAGGCTGGGGTTTGAGATCTGGTTAGGATTAGGTTTTGGGGTGGTTTTAAGGTTGTGGTTTGTGTTGGTGTTTGTGTCGGGGTAAGGGTTGGGATTTGAGTTGGGGTTGTGGTTGTTTGGGGTTGAGGCTTTCCTTTGTGCCAGGTTAGAGTTGAAGTTGGGCTTTGGTTGAGGTTGTAAGTGTGGTGCAAGTCGGATACTTTGTTGAGGATTAAGTTTGGGTTGGTGTTTGAGTTGTTTCCTTGGCTGGGGTTGGAGCTAAGGATTGGTCTCGAGTAGGGGTTGAGTTGGTGTATGGGTTAGGGTTAAGGTTAGTGTTGAGTTTAGGGAAAGGGTAGGAATCGAAGACTGGGATGAACTTTTCTTTGAAGTTGTGTTTCCTGCTTTGGTTACTATTAGGGTTTGAGTTTGTAATAGGGTTTAGGCTTGGGATTTGGCTCGAGGTTGTAATTAGGGTTTGTGGTTGGCTCGGAGTTTGAGTTGGGGTAAGCATTGGGTTCGGGTTGCTTTTGGAGTTTAGGTTTTTGCTAGTGGTTGGGCGTGGAGTTGGGTTTAGTGTTTGTGTTTGAGGTAGGGCTTTTCCTTAGGACTAGATTAAAGTTTTTCTTAGGGTTAGCTTAGGGTTTTGCTCAGGGCTAACTTAGGATTTTCTTTTAGGTTAGCTTAGGGTTGCTTAGAGTCAAAATTAGCGTAAGGATTAGGGGTTTCATTTGGGATTGTGGTTGTCAATGAGGTTAGTATTACGGTTTTGGTTGGAGTTGGGATTTGGGATGGGGTTCGGGTTTAGGTTGGTATTTTGCTTAGGGTTTCGGTTTAGGGTGAGGTGGTATTGGGTAGGGGTTATGGTTTGTGTTCGAGCTTGGGTTGTGGATGGGGCTGGGGTTTTCGTTGGGGCTGAGGTTAGGTTTAGGGTGGAGTTGGATTAGGGTCAGGGCTGAGGTTGGTGTTGGTATGGGGGTTTGTCTAGGGTTGGTCTTTGGGTTGGTTTGGGGTTTAGCTTTTATTTGTGGTTGGGCTCGGGCTGGGTTTAGGGGAAGTGTTTGAACTTGTGGTTGTGATTCAGCTTTTCGTTTTGTTTGGTGTCGGGGTTAGGGTGGGGTTAAATTAGGGCTGGGCTTCAGTTGGTTTTTGTGTTGGGGTCTTATTTGGGATTGAAGCTCGAGTAGGTCTTAGGGTTAAGATTTTATTTGGGACTGGGCTTGGGGTTAGTTTAAGGATCGAGGTTTGAGTTGGTGTTGTCGTTGTTGTTGGGAGTAGGGTTAGGGGTTGGGCTTGGTTGGTTTGCATTGAAGCTGAGGTTGGGATGGGAATTTCAATCGGGTTTTGGTTCGAGCGGGGGTGGGGTTTGGAGTTGGGGCTTTATTTGGGATTGTGGTTGTTCGGGTTTTAGTTGTGGCTTTGGTTGTGGTTTATGGTCAGGGTTGGGGTGAGGCTAGGGTTTGATGTGGTGTGGGGCTGAGGGTTTGGTTTAAGGTTGGGTTTGTGGTATGAAGCCTGGGTTGGTGATAGGGTTGGTGTTGGAATTGGGATCGAAGTTGGAATTGGAATTAGGGTTAGGGTTAGCTTTTGGGTTGGTGTTGGGGTTTGGGTTTGGGTTTGGGTTTGGGTTTAGCTAAGGGTTATGTTTGGTGTTGGGATTAAGAGTTGGGATTCGTGTTGGTGTTGTATTTATGTTTTGGGTTTCGTTTAGATTTGAGTTAGAATTAAAGTTGAGATTGGGGATTGAGGAGGGGTTGTGGCTGGGGTTTGGGATTTTTTTGAGTTGGGGTTGTGGATTGGGATGTGGTTGGGGTTAGATTTTGGCTTTCTGGTGTTGGTTTCTGGGTTTGAGTTTGGGTTTGGGTTTGGGTTGTGGTTTGGGTATGGAATTGAGTTAGGTTAGGACTTAGTGTTGGTGTTGGGGCTAAGGTTTGAGTTAGGGTTAAGGTTGGTTAGGGGTTGAGGTTGGGGCTTAGGCTTAAGTATGGGTTTAGGTTCGAGTTTGAGTTGTGGTTGAACGTGGAGTAAGGACTTTGGTGAGGTTTGGGTCTGGGGTTTTTGTTTGGGTTTTGGTGAGGTGTGGGTCTGGGGTTTGGGTTTTTTTTGTTTGGGGTCGGGGTTGGGGTTGGGGTTGGGGTTGGGGTTGGGGTTGGGGTTGGGGTTGGGGTTGGGGTTGGGGTTGGGGTCGGGGTTGGGGTTGGGGTCGGGGTCGGGGTTGGGGTTGTGGATGGGGTTCTAGTTGCGGTGAGGTTCGAGTTTTGTGTTGGTGCTTGGGGATGGGGTTGGCGTTGGGGTTTGGGAAGGAGCTGGGTTAGAGTTCAGCGTTAGGGCTTTTTTACAACTATTTTTAAAAGTATGAACGTAATCAAAACTTACCAAAACGTTTTTATTGCCAGTTTCTTTGCCCAGAAGGTACTTGCGTTGATTCTCGACATAATAAAGAACATTTGTCATAACTTTTTGTTTCCCTGACGAGAAGGACATAATAAGAATGAATATAAACTCAGACAGGAAATGAGAAATATTTTCAATTTTGAAGTTCCGTAAAAATGAAAAATCATTCATAGTTTTAGAAGGAAAAGAAAACGACTGAAGTCTGGCACTGTAGTTTTTTTTCAATCGACAGTCTCAATAATTTTGTTCGGAAATCATTCTCACGTTTACAATTTGGCATCTCTAGCCTTTTTAATGATAGATAATGATCTTGCCATCATCTCTACTGCATATCTTAACTTTTCTTCGTTCTACGATGAACGATCAAAAATTTCAAATGTGCTATCTGTAAAACAAACTTCCAACACACTCATTAGGTTTTCATATGGAACAGTACATTCTCTGGGAATATTTTTGACTACTGGTACGGTCTCTGATAGACTGGCTAACAAGTTTTCTAAGTTTCAACAATCTCGTACTCTCACAGAAAGCAAACAAAATACCACATGAATGGAGGGTCAGTTGATCATATTCTGTAGGCCTTACTCTTTGCATCACAAAACAAGTATATCCATATTATTTCCAAGAGTTTCCATCAAATAAAAGAATCTGGAATGCTTCAATTATAGGTCACGCTAAAAAGGGTTCTGTAGGAGCCAAAAATGTAAATTAGGGGAAGAACCAGGGGTAAGTCAGGGAGTTCAAACCCTCTCCCTCCCCCATCATCTGATCTGTGCTTTTTTAACAACCAGTATGACCCCTTAATTCTACACTGAGTAATTCAATTGTGGGCCATGCTACGCCACAAGCAATATTTTAAAATGGGTTTTTTCATTACGAGAACCGCTTACACTTTACAAATAAACAAGATTGGGCCAACAAATATCAGAATTTAACAAGTCGCAAAACTTTACCCAGCTACAATATTTGATAATTTGAGTATTCCTACTTATTCAGTCTCTTTATCTGCACATCATCCTCTAATTGATCTGACAATATGAAAAATTTTCATAAAAAAGAACGCGTTTCTTAAAAGATGAAGGAGGATATGACTTTTCAACGTCACTAAACTTTCACACATCAGTGACAAAGTTTCAAACAAAGGAATCGCAATTCCATCAAAAAAGCCGGAAAGCTTAGGTTTATATGCATTAGTTTTCTTTTTCTGGCCTAGAGTCGTTGCAGAACAGGAGTAGAAAGGGAAAAGTTGACCAGAGACTTAAAAATTTTGATTTGCGTAGAAATTCTGGATCCAAAGAACTTAATTTCCTCAGGGACGCTCGCAAATCATTTGCTAAAATGATTGGAACTGGAAAGAAATCTGGTGTGTCATCCAATTATGAAATAATACTCTTCTCATCAGCCAGCGTTCCAATGCCAAACATATACCATCCAAAAGGATATGGATAGTTATGTTGAGGAAAAAAAGCGGTATAGGGCCCGATAGTGTAACCCACTTTGCAACGCATTTCATTCAAATTTCCCATTCTTGAATCCGACTCTTACATGACCAATTTTTAAATTATCTTTTACAATAAATGTAAAGAAAATATTAACTGCCGTTTATATATCAACTATTAATTGTTGTAGGCATTGTGTGAACAGGAGGTCCTAAAGTAAACACTTCGATAAGCCCCCACGAAAGAGGGTAGGGGGATAATGAAGGGCCCCTGAAGAATGAAGTGGCAGTCGATTTGCAAGACACAAGATATTGAAGCAATTTTATACAACTGTTATGGTTAATAGATCTAATTTCGGTAAGTTGAATTCTTCCTGATGAAGTCAAGCTTGAAGTCGACTTGCCTGTTGTTGAAGGGAAGGAGATCGGTTTTTTTAAGTTATTTCACATGGCGTTTCAGAAAAATTCAATTAATAAAGTCATAGGCATTATTTCTTTTTGGCTATGTCGCACGCTGTCTTACAAAGTCTTTAAGCGAAGTTTCACTGGTTGATGTTGCACACTTATATTTTACACTCAGGTTGCTTATTCATCTTCAATATGTAAATCATAACCTTAACTTTATTAAAATACTACGAAAATTTGCATATGAAAATATAGGCAAGGAATCTGACACTTTGCCATCATTAACTGTGTGGCAATTGAATTACATGCTTATCGTCGGCTGGCAGTTAAAGGATTGGTTTTTTTTTGGGTAAAATAATTGTTACATTTTGTATTGGTACGAAAGTCTGCCTCCGTTTATACTGGAACAAAAACCATTTACCCCTAACTTAAGCCCAAACCCAAATCAAAACTTAACCCAAGCCCACACACAAACCCTGAACTTAACCCAAACACACACCCATACACCCATGATGGTTGAGTTGGGGTTGTGGTTGTGGTCGTGGTATTGTTCAGGTTGGTAATAAATTTACGAGTACTGCTTTGGTTTTCAAAAATCTAAATGGTATTTGTTAAGTGATTTTTTTGTACTTGATTGGTTCGAATTTGGCCATGTATCTACTCTCTAGTCTATGGCTAATTGAAGACAAACACTAAGTCAACCAAAAGTAGAAGTATTATAAAGAAGTAAATGACACTTATCTGATTAATTTAGCGATACTTGTATTCCACGTGCTTAGCGACTGATCTTGGAGACTTATCAATTAAAAACAATGAGATTTTTTCAACCAATTTGTTAAAGTAAATAAACTGCCGTGGGTGGAAAAAAAATTCTCCTATAAACACTTAAAATCACGCACGGTTTAACAAGCAAAAGGAACAATTGACTGAAAGCCTGCTACCGCTGATAGAAAAAATCTACATAATAGATACAACTTTAATTTATGTACATACCCTCTCGCAAGATATCCAGCACCTCCTTACTCAGAAGGGGATCTTGGTTCTTAACCACCTGTTTCTGTCTTTGTATGGTAAAATTTAGGGGCACATTCTGTTGTGACCCTGCCCAGTCATACACCTCCTTTCATTTAAAGAAAGAAATTTCTTTAAAAAAATGTCTTTAATACGAAGTGTGACTAGGAAAGAGACAAAATAGCCTGCAGTGGGTGGGTGCTCCTTTCCTTTAGAAAGTGGGTTGCCTTCTTAACTAGAATTAGTGGTATGAAGCTGGCTTTTCTTGTCATGTATTGAGATGAAGAGGATTACAGATATTTGGTTAAACTGGAAATCAATACAACTCAGTTTTATTTCCTCTGATCAAGAAATATTTATCAAAGAAAAGAGGAAATTAATACTTGTAAGTAAGTGACCATGTAGATATATAAAATATCTATACATCTTGAATAAAATTTATTTTCATAAATCCTTAGAAGAGAGAGATAGAAACACTGTGTTTATCATTCCAATAATTGATCTTAAATGATATTCATCTTAACTACTCATACACAAGTTATTGTAAATACCTGGAAAAGGGCAGTTGCCTTGAATTTGCATTTCAGTCGGTACTGCCACACGGTAGGATTATCGTTATGCCCTCTTTGTCCTCATGCAGTACCCACTGACCCCTACCTCTCACCTATGAAGTTAAAAGGGAAAAATATTTCTTATGTTTTGTTATGTTGAACTCCCCAGACTTCATTCCAAGCAGAAAGAAGGGGGGAATTAAAACACCAAAGAGATCTGTTGGCCAGAAAATAGCTGCAGCAATTATCCAGTGATTCTGAAAGGTTGCCTTTACGAGTATTACTAGGGGGCTATCTACAGAGTCATTACTTTGATTTCAATATTCTCTATTCGTGAGGATGTACACTTTTACCTAATTTTATTGAAGGATTTTTTTCTTTCTTTTATCCACTGATTGGTCTTGTAGTATGTAGGCAATATAGGAAATTATTGTTTTCAAGACATGTCATAAGAAGTTTTTCCCCTACTCATCACCAAAGACACTAGCACAACATTGTAAGATTTGATTAGCAGATTGGGTTAACCCTTTCACTCCCAAGATCTAATTAGTAATTCTCCTTACTATCTGCCATACAATTCTTATGATGTTAGTTCAGAGAATTTGGTATTGGATCAACTAATAATCCCATGATTGATATTTGTCTCTATTCTCATCACCTGCCTGCTTGATATTGTATTGATATTGTAAGGAGAAATTCTGTCTTGGTCACTTGTGGGAGTGAAAGGGTCAACACTCCAGGACATACTTCTCCATGTTCATTGGCCTGGCTTTTCTGCCTACATAAACTTATACTTTCATCATTCATTAATATCAAAACATTATGAATTGGCTTTAATGGGGTGTAGCATATTGTAGAGATATGTTTGAGACATGTTAGAGATATGTAATATTATACTATTCACCTCCACGTCTATCCTAGTGGTTTGATCCTCCTTGTCATTGTGGACTTTCACTCTCTTGCTGACAGAAAAATATTTGTTGAAGTGAAGATTGATGACAATTATTTACCAGTATTTCCCTTAATTTCATTGTTTTGTTAAATGAAAATTAAGAACATAGAACAATTGAAAATGTACATGTATGGAACCTTCCACACATACCTTATATTTCCTCAGGCTATAATAGTCAATACAAACCTTATCAAAGGTGAGATTTAAAAAGACTTGTAGGGGCTCCAACCTAGCATAGTTGTCATAAAGCTCCCTCTCACATAGGAGCACCTCCTCCACCCTGTCAAGTCTTCTTAATGTAACTTCAATTTCTCTATGAATACTTTGACTCAAATCTACAACTCAAGGGTACAGTGGATTTTCTGATCAGGCTAATGGATTCTTACTGTTACTTGCCTAATGGATAGGCAGTTTTTTTTAAGATTCATTTAAATTACAACATTTTGGGCCAGTAAAAATGACTCAAGGGCTAGTACATGCTAGTCACAGCTTGCCCTTCAGGGCGAGCAGTAATGCTCACTCTCTTTCCAATCTGAACTACCCAAAAAAGAACGAAGCCTAGCAAGCCATTGTAAAACCTGTGTTGAAGAAATCCTGTCTGTTTAGGGCTTTCACCCAACTATTTATGTGTCTCCTTAGAAATGCAACATGTACTGTTAGTCTAGGTTTAAACAAGTAAGTTGTATCCAAGTGATTATAATTTGATAATTTTTGCAATACATTTGGTTCCATTTTTGTGAAAATCATGTTGGGAAACACAGTTTTTTCACCCCTTGTGTGTATCCTATATACCTTTCCAATTAACAGTACCTTTTCCATGGTTTTGACAAACAGCTTCCACTAAGCTGAGGTCTTCTTGAAGGACACCAGCTACATTTAAATGTTTTCCCATTAAAACATATTGATGTATTGTACACGAAATAATTGTCACCATACAGCCAGTGCAGCAATCAATGAGAGTAAAGATGATATACCTATAAAAATTAACGTATTTATACTAATCCACAAATAAAGTCTGATGGTTACTAAGGCATACATATCTAATGATGGTACAATTTAGAACAAGTGGGTTATTGTATCAATGGGTGATACCTTGAGGTTGGTCATCTGCAATCCTACAATTTCAGGCAAATCATTATCTTTTAAATGTATGCACATCAGTGCAAATAAAAATTGCTACTGACAGTTAAACAAGGAAACAATCACAATCATTACAGGTTGTTTAGTTTGATGTCATGTTTCAGTTAGGGATGTTTAAACAAGTTCTTGGTATCAGGCCATGAGTATCATAGTTTTCATGAATCATTCATGACCTGGAATATGGTAGAGGATTAAATTTAACCAGCTACAGCCTCAAGATGTATACACCCACTTACCTTCATGCATGAATTGCTGCAGTTGGCTATATTCTCTCATGATAATAAACATAAATATTGTTAAGGTGTGTGCTGGATATCACTAATTAAAGAACTGCCATTCAAATCAACTGTGCATGTATTTCTTCAGTACTGTTGTTTGTTTTGTCCCATGTAGTGTATGGAAAGAAAAAATTACTTACCTTCAATTTCTGAAGTGGATGACACAGTGCACTGGGCTGATGAAAGGGTCTGGTTTGATTGGGTTGATGGAAGGTTGAGGTTAGGTTGGGCAAGTGGAGGGGTGGGGCTGGGGTTGGGGTCGGGGTTGGGTTGAGCTAGTGGGGGAGTAAAGCTGGGTTGGGATGATTGAGGAGTGGGGTTAGGTTGGGCAAATGGCAGGGTGGGGTTAGGTTGGGCTACAGGAGGAGTGGGGCTAGATGGGACTAGTGGAGGATTGGGGTTAGGATGGGAAAGTGGAATGGTGGGGTTAGGTTGGGCTGGTGGAGGGGTGGGGTTAGTTTGGGTTGGTGGAAGGGTGGGGTTAAATTGGGCTGGTGGAGGAGTGGGGTTCGTTAGGGCTAGTAGAGGATTGGGGTTAAGTTGAGCAAGTGGAATGGCAGGTTAGGTTGGGTTAATGGAGGAGTGGGGTTAGTTTGGGCAAGTGGAATGGCAGAGTTAGGTTGGGTTAGTGAAGGAGTGGGGTTAGTTTGGGCAGGTGAAATGGCGGGGTTAGGGTGGGCTAGTGGAGGAGTGGGGCTAATTTGGGTTAGTGGAGGAGCGGGATTAGTTTGGGCTAGTAGAGGAATGGGATTAGGTTGGGTCAATGAAGGGAAAACACCTGCACTGGTTTGCCTAGGGACTTTTGTCTATTGGTAACCAGTAAAGTATTTTGAGATTTGGGATATAAAATGTAGATGGGCTTCAAACTCCACAATTGGCCAATTTTGAGGACATAAGTCAATAGTAGGGGACTATTACATGTAAGAAAAAAATTTTAGAAATGGGGGAGAGACAACTTCTATGGCGTGAAGTGGAGGACATGAGACCAAACAGTTTCACTGGAATGAAGAGGACTGAGAAAGAAAGACATTATGCTAATAATTTTATGTAATAAAAAGCTAAGTCACTGACCTGGATTTGTAGGCCACAGGAAAATTTTCTTTTTCCTTGATCCTCCAAATAATTCCATCAGCTTTACACCATCTTGGAGGGCAGTCACAACCTTTGACATGGCATGTCCTCTAAAGTATGATGCAAATAACTCTAACCTGGTGTAAGGAAATATTTGGGATTGTTATCATCATATCATAACAATTCATTATATTGTAGTTTTGAATGGTAGTCCCTCACTTTACTGGAAATTTCCTTAAACATTGCACTTGCAGAAATTACACATAGGTAACATTTGCCTGAAAAAGGTAGAGAAACTAGAACATACTGCCATCATAGGGGCCAATATTCTTTAACCCTTTAACGCCTAGATCTAAATTTGCAAGTCTCCTTACTGTCAATCATACAATTCTCATAATATTAGTTCAGAGAACTAAGTATTGGATCAACTACCGGCCGATAACCCGCAGGTAATCTGTTAATTTTTCCACAAACAGTTGTTGGTGCAGGTTATAGGAAAGTGCGGGTAATACAATAATTTTTAAAGCTTCCAGTGTAGTTAAAAACGATAAACAGGAAAAAAACAGGTGATAATATACACTACAGATACTCTTCAAAAAACTTGTGCAATAACTCATTTATTTCGTGCAGATTGCTTATTATAATAAGAGACTTTACTGCTCTCGATGAAAACCGATGCAAATCGAAAACATACAAAACTCGATAACATAGCGTTTATCTTGTTCGTACTCTTACTTTCTTACCTTGTCAATTTCACAGGTTGTTTCTTTGTTAAGTTAAAAAAATAATTAATTCTCACCTACACGGGAAGTGAACTTGAAAATAAAAGAATTCAACTACTGTGAAAAGACTGGCTTCAGGGCAATTCAAATGGAAAATGATGCTAACATGTTCATTTCGTGGCGCCGCATAATTAATTAGCGCGACAGAATATTCGATGCATCAGAGAAATTTTCTTAGCTTGAGTATTTTCCAGTTTCAAGCGATTTCTCCGACTCAGTAGATCTCGTGATATCGATTCTTTTAGAACAGATTTATACAATTGGTACCATTCTCAATGAAACAGCGAAGACAAAAAGTGTGAAAATTTATTAATTGCACGCTAAAGGATAACATGTCAAAAAAAACACTGAAGGAACTTTGTACGAGTCGATGATTTTTTTTTTGTTTTTGTGTGCGGGGTATCTGCCAGTGCAGATAATCTGTTGAAATTTTTTTCTCGTTATTTCCTAAAATTGACCGATGCGAGTAATCTGCCGCGCGGGTAATTGGACGGAAATTACGGTAATTATTCCCAAATTGATATTTTTCTTTTTTCATATTTCATGTCTGATTGATATTGTATTGATATTGTAAGGAGAAATTCTGTCTTGGTCACTCATGGGAGTTTAAGGGTTAAAGACCAGTGTGAAATTTACATTTTATCTGAGAGGATAACAAATATGTGGATAACTTTGTTTTTTTCCTCCTCGAAAAAGTTTGGTTTTCACTCTTCCAACCTCTTCATCAAAGGTTATGATAACAGTATGAAAAAGCAATTTAAGAATAACTGGTTATTTCCATTGATTATGCAAGCATTGAAATAGCTGAGTAAGCGCGTTTCCTAGCAGAGGTGTTCTAAGGTATCAGAGAATGAAAATTAGCGCACTAGCGAAAACAGCATACAAACTATTCGAGCTATCCCTTTAAAGGTCTACATTTTCGCGGAGTCTAATAAGGAATAATGTGGCTCATTCAATTTACTTTTAAAATTTTGATCGTTCAGCGGAAAAGGAGCTTTCCTTTTTAAACGCCTGGACGGTCGACAAGATTAGTTTCTTAGATGTTCGTTTTTCATTGGGGACTTGGTCTTCACATATTGAACTCAAAAAGGGTTTCTGCCATTTGTGCGTTAACGCTTCGAAGCAGAGCTTTTGAGCAAAGTGTTAAGGAACCTTTTATTTTTGGATATCATCTCCAAATTTCGCGAAAATAGACCGAAAGTCAGCAAAAAATGAAATCTTTAAAGTTTAAAACGCAAGCCAAAAAAGTGATTATGCGAAAAACCAAATCTGACGTATCATCAATCCCGCACGCGCCTTCTACTCTTAAATTGTTTTCTACTTGTGTCCACCGAAGTAAATGAGGCACCAAAAAATAACTTTCAGATGTTAACAGATTTTAGTTTTGTTTAATTTTGTTTTTTTCTCATAACTAAACATGAAATTTGCGAGAGATTGAAAACAAAGAGATTTCCTTCCGTGATACCTTATCAGATTTATAAAGTAGGTCAAAATGACGTTTTGGAACTAGATTTGATGTGGGTTCACCACCGCGTCGATTCCGAAATTAAGCGTACAATACACCCGCTGCGCTGTGGTGGACGGCTTTCCTTCGACGTTTTCGCATCGGAACTTTCAGACGAAATGGTTAAGTATTCTCCAGAGGTAAAAATTATTTGCCGGGCTCGCAGCGTTGAATGTCTAGTATAGGTGTAAGTCTAGTTTTTAACTTACCGTCCTATGTTGCTCTCTGCTTTGTGCGCCAGCGACGCGAACAATGTTCAGTCTAAGGTCAATTGAACCGGAGAAATAGGTGTCATTATCCATTAGATGGCAAAGTAGAGTCCAATATCACTTGAACAATTTAAATAAACTTAATCCATTTTTTTTTCGTATGGAAAATATTACACAATTATCAATAAGCGTCATCAACTCAACAGAAACTTCATAGAGCGACTTAGTTCGAAGTAACTTACACCTTAAAGCGAAATGATTCAGAAGAAGCGAGTGACAAGAGAAACAAGACTCACCCGCTAAGGTCTTCTCCTTTTGTAAAGGTAATGTCCATCAACCGCCTAGCGTTTATAAGCCGACTCATTTCTGCGTTCCCAGAAACAGCAGCCCTCTTCCTTTTCAATAACACCACGGCCCTCTGAAAAGCACGTTTGCTGGAGCTCATAATGTAAGTTTATAGTGTGTAGAAACTGCAGCTGCACGCGCTTACTGAATCGTCGAAAGAACCCCAACTAACATGAAAACTGAAGCCCTCTATTGTTCGGTTGATCAATAACTAACTAGGTAACTATTCATCAACAATTTTTTCAGCTTCACGTTTACATAAAGCAACAACGAAACTGTGAAATAAATCAAATCTTGGCGCAGCGGATTTCAATCATAAAAAAGGCGGAAAGAAGACACCCCTAAAACAAAAACAGTCGCTTAAATTATTCAGCGTAAATCTGTCACTAATATTCAAGTTGAGACGACGCGCGATCACATCTATATTCGACAATTCAAAATAAATTGATAAGGTACAGACATAATATAGACTTACCAATCTGTAGTTTTTAAGTCCATTTTGGCCGATGTAAAAAAGAAAGAAAACATTTAAGCGTCCTAGCAGTCGTTAATCCTTGATCCCAAACGATCGCCCTTCGCGCACGAAAACAAACTCCACCACATCTTCCCAGTGAACGCTAGCTACGCCACTGGGTTAAGTGTCACAACAACAACTCCAGAGGTGTGAAAAGGCGTCAACGCGCATTAATGTGAAATATCTTTTACCAACCCAGAACATTGAATTCTTTTTACAAGAATAGAACATGTCTTTACGTCAGTATACGGCCTTAGAGCAAGGTCCTGTATCGAATGTAATCCACTGGCTACAGAACAGGAATCTTCCAGCCAATCCACTTCGCTGCACACCGTGTAATAACGCGATGGATGTGAAAGAAAGAAACGATGGCCACGTGGACGGTTTTCACCAGTGAGTCAACAAAAATTCACTTAAAATAGACTATTTAGAACAGAACGGATTGAAGAGGTAATTTTATTAGCAGAAGCGACATCGGAATAGGCGGTCGTTTCGGGGTAAAGCTAAAAATATTGCGGCACCAATGACCAAACATCTCGGAACAAGTAAAAATTCGCGGATTCAGTAATATATGCTTACGCTTACTGGTGGAGACTTTCTTATCGTGCGCGTGGAAGAGTGTTTCAATTTTTCATTTGCAGTCTCCTCTCCTCGAGACTGCACATTTTTCCACTGACCTAGTTATTGAGTTTATAGCACGCGGGGTTGAAATAAATTTACTGGCATTTTCATACAAAAAAAAGCCACGGGGAGGGGGGGATGAAAGGTCACGTTCTTAAAATTAGCCAGAAAGAACCAAATCATTTTTCGTGCCTCGGGTCTGCTAAACTTTTCCAGACCGGACGTTTCCCTTTTTCCGTTTTTCGTTCAGGAACGCGGCACACAAAAGAGAAGGAGTAATTTTTTTATCCAAAAGCTAAATAGGTCCTCCTGGTAAGTATAGCTCATTTCAAACAAATTTTGCCCCGCGGATGAATACCGTACAAGCAGTTTTTCTTCGGTGAACTCGCATTTCTAAAAGAACGTTTCCTTCTCTCTGTCTTTCTTTCTTTGCAAAAACTATTTCCAAATTTTTTTTCTGTCAAGTCAAAGTTGGAGCAAGTAATTATATCACGGTTTCATAGTTCAATTCTGATGTGGTTGAATAAAACTGACTATGGCTCTTGGTTTCTCTAGCCGAAATCAATGGAACAAAACATGTTCACAATTCCCTCGCAAAGTGTCTTCTTGATTTTTCTCCTTTTTCTTTTTTGGATAGGTGCAAAATTGTTTGAGACCATCTTACTAAAAAGAAAAGATACTTTATGACAAAATGGACTAAAAAATAAAGCTATTACATGTGATAATTGGATTGATAAACAAAGGCAAAATCCAAAATGGACTAAAAAGCTACGGATTGATTGGTCGTGCTTTTTTTTTTTTTTTTTATTACGCCTGTAAGTGGCGTGCAAGTCATTCCGATCATTAGAACCATTTAAAACTTTTCAAAGTTGTACGAAACTCTTTTTTTTCTACATCGCACAGGCGTTGCAGTGGATGCAGAAGAAAAGAAGTCTGCGGTCCAACAGCTTCTTCGAGGAGTTTCCAAGAGTGCCTTTTGGTAAATTACAACTCACAATCTACATTTTTTTCCCGCCGAGGACTCTCAGCGACAAATGTCTAGGCACCTCAGGTAAAATCCGAACGAAGTGAGCAGGATTTTGAGGCGGCTACAGGATGCCTGCTCTAGAGATCTCCAGAAGAAGGCCAATCACGCCCTTTGGAGGACCCGGAACTGTGTGACGACTTGATTCGATTCGAGCTCGATTACAATGGTTGTGACTTGAGTTCGAGTCACTTATATCGAGTTGCCCAGGAACAAATATTGATCTTTCGAGATTTATAATTTCGGGTAGGCTTTCGAGCTCGAGTCATCTATATTGAGCTCGGTTTCCCGGGAACAAATATTGATCCGTAATTTCAAAAGCCTTCCTAAATGAAACAAACGAGGATGGATAACCAAGCAACACGAAATTCGGCCTTTAAGAACTGTCCTTCCCAGAAAGATGCAATTGGCTATCAAGAGCAGCCTTCAAATACCATCTGTGTAGATGGTGCGCTTCGCAGCTCGAAAGAGTAAAATAATCAGTCCAGCTCATTGAAAGGATCGTTAATTGTATGGAAGATCATCTCAATATCGTCAAAGACAGCTAAATAAAATGGATTAAATTTAGATGTTTACGAAAACATAGCCCTCTAAATTTTGTTTTCTTTGTCCACTGAATTTTTCAAGATTCAGTTACTCAGCATTTTTTTGTATTTGTGATATAAATATACCCACAATTTTATATAAATCAATATCTAACTCTTCGCAAGAAGAACTTAACTTCTCAGCCACTATGATTCAATAACGAAACTTTATGGTCATGAAAATTCTTTATATATCTGGTACAAGAGTTTCCATCTAACGAGAAAAACTGTTGTTTCCCAAAAAAATCGCTCCTTTGGGAGCCAAAACATGTAAATCTGGGGCGGATTAGAGGTTCCAAACCCTCTCCCTGCGTCATCATCAGACCTGCGCTTTTTTTTAAATGTCTGTCTCACGCACTTATTCATGCAACGACATGATCGCATGTTTATACTCAGTATGGAATATTTATAATTTGGTCTTGAAAAAATTCTCAGCTTAATTAGGCTAAAGCGTAGAGTTGGTGCCTTATGCATCAATTTCCAAGATCCACTACTAAATGAAGCAATATGACGACAACAATTTGGTAACATACAATTACTATTGCTTTTATATATATATATTTCGCTGGTTTAGGTTTAATGATTTTTTTATATTTTACAGTACTTTTTCTGGGTACTCTAAATTTTTGAAGTCTATCATTACCTTTGCATTTCTACTTTACTTCCCACGTTGAAACGCATATAGTTAAAGTTTCCTGTACTTGTCTCCGAGGCTGACATGACCAATTTTGGGTTAGGGTTAACCCTAACCCTTTGCAATTTTATTATAAGGTCAAGAAAATGTCAACTGTCGTTTGTAAATCAGCTTTCAGATACATTGTTTATGAATGGGTTAAGAATCAAATAGAACGGCAAAACATTTTGCTTCAGGAAACGAGGTTATCTGGGATGAGCAGGGAGTTTGGCTTACTAGACAAGAGTGGTTCCAAATGGGGGTATTACAAGGGAGCAAGCTCTAAAGGCGCTTATGATATTTTAAATCACTGGAGTGCTCAAAAGGAGGCTCCCTGTAGTCGAGACCACCTAACCCTTTTAAAGCAAAAAGCAAGAAAATTACCGAAAAATATAGAGCAACGAGTGTACAGCAATCAACAAATGTGTTTAATCTTTAATAGGGAATAAACTTACGAAAACAGATAAAAAAAGAAAAATAGCCTAAAGGTATTGGAAAATGGACAATCTCCAATAAAGTAAAAAGATTCAATTAGCTAGATTTTCTAAAAAAAACCAGTAGCAGATAATTGACTAATTTTTTTGGTACAAATTGATATTTTCTGTTATCTCTTCTTTTAGTTGTTGATCAACTTCTTTACCCAATTTCAAATCAGTAGATAAATCATTTTTCAACTAAAAATATTCACAGACGCATTTTTTCGATACTTGATTGAAAGCGGAAACCAATTAATCTGCAAAGAGTCCACTGAACTTTTAATTAATCTTGAAATCACTTCACTCAAAGAATTAAAATGTTCCAAGCTCTCGGATCGAACAAATACCTAATTTTCTTTTACATTATCTCCTGCAAACTCAAAACAACCTTAACTCCTACACTATTCCTTACTATACGATACAATAAGTAAACGCAAGTGTAATAATTTCACTTGTTTCGCCATTTAAAGTCTTGTAATAAATCACCGTCGTTGTTGCTTCAAGACCGTACAATTTACTTCCAAAGAGGAGAATGGTTAGGCAAGTAAGGCCTTTTGATCATGCCCTTAGAGGTCAAATGGAACGCTCCCTAAACGCGCCGTATGGTGGATTCCCTTCGCATCTGTAGCTCAGCTTGTTGTAATGATAAACTTTCCATCAAGCACTCCGACGCTGTTCTATTGATATCCCAGTATTACAAATTAAGCCATGAATCACTGGCGACCCAGTGATAGTCTTGTTTCTTTTCCAAGGTCAAGTGGTGTCTCGGGAAAACTAGATCTTGTGAGAAAAAAAGACCTGAAAAACAAAGTTGCGTTTTATTTTAATATTCTGCATTAAAAATAATAAATTCAATGATCATACCATGAAGTTACGTTTATTCATTAATTTATTTATGAATCAATATATTTACATATTTATCTTCTTATTTATTCATTATTTCTTTATCTCCTTAAAAATTCAATTGAGAAATAATCACTGTTATCACTAAATGAGTTATATTTTATTTCTTTATTTCATCTTTTATTGATCAATTATTTTTGTTTATTTTTAAGTTATATTTTTATCAAGGTATAATTTAAATTGGACTTAAATGTGGGTTTTTCCGAATGGCACTTCACTCGACTAGACGGGACCGCAACACACTAAGTTGTTCCTAACTTGACTGGGCAGGACTGCATTGCGCTAGACTCGACAGCATTTGGTTG